TTAAGACAAAGAATGGCAGTGGGATCAAGATGCACAAGCAGATCAATGGAGTAGAATAAACAGTCCAGAAATAGACCCACACATACAAGGACAACTGATTTTTTACAAAGATGCAAAGGCAAGCCAGTGGAGAAAGAGGTCTTTTCAGAAAATGGTTCTACAACTATTTGATATTGCTATGCCAAAAAATGAACTTTGACCTATAACTTGTATGACATACAAAAATTAACTCAAAATACATCACAGATCTAAATGTAAAAACTAAAACTGTAAAACTTTTAGGATATATAAGATAAAAATCTTTGCAAAGCCCAAAATTGAAAAACTTCTCCACATCCTCTCCAGCATTTATTTTGTCTTTTTGATAATAGTCATTTTAACTGGGGTGAGATAATATCTCGTTGTGGTTTTGATGTGCATTTCCCTGATTATTAGTGAAGTTGAGCATTTTTTCATATACCTGTTGACTATTTGTATGTCTTCTTTTAAGAAATGTCTATTTGGCTCATTTGCCCATTTTTAAATCAGATTATTTTTCTGTTGCTGTTGAGTTGAGTTCCTTGTATATTTTGGATATTAATCCCTGCTCAGATGAAGTTTGTAAGTATTTTCTCCCATTCTGCAGGTTGTCTCTTTGCTCTGTTGATTGTTTCCTTTGCTGTCCAGAAGCTTTTTAGTTTGATATGATCCCATTTGTTTATTTTCACTTTTGTTGCCTGTGCTTTTGAGAAAACTTATACACTGTTGGTGGGAATGTAAATTAGTACAGCCATTATGGAATACAGTCTGGAGGTTCCTTAAAAAACTACAAACAGAACTACCATATGATCCAGAAATCCCATTACTGGGTATATATCCAAAGGAAAGAAGATCAGTTTGTCAAATGGGTACCTGCACTCCCATGTTTATCAAAAACATTATTCACAATAGCCAAGATATGGAGTCTGCCAAAGTGTCCACCAACAGATGGTTGGATAAAGGAAATGTGGTACATATACAGAATGAAATACTACTCAGCTGTGAAATAGAATGAAATCCTGTTATTTGCAGTAACATGGATGAGACTGGAGGACATTATGTTAAGTGCAATAAGCCACGCACAGAAAGAGAAATGTTCTCACTCATGAGGAAGCTTTAAAAAAAATGATCTCATAGAAGTAGAGAATAGAATACTGGCTAGTAGAGGCTGGGAAAGGGGGAGGGAGAATAGGGATGGGTTGGTCAATGGTTACAAAATTACAGCTAGATAGGAAGAATAAGTTCTAGTATACTATGGCACTGCAGGGTGACTACAGTTAACAATTTATTGCTAACTTCAAATAGCTAGAGGATTTTGAATATTTCCAACACAAAGAAATGACAAACATTTGAGGAGATGGATATGCTAATTACTCTGATTTGAATATTACACATTGTATACGTGTATCCAAATATCACATTGTACCCCATAAATATGTACAATTATTATGTCAATTAAAAATAATAATGAAAAATAAAATCTGCTCTTCAAAAGACATTTTTTAAGAGAATAAAGATAACCTACTGGGAGTATTTGATAATAGACTTGTACCCACTATATATAAAAACCTCTTAAAAATCAGCAATAAAAATCAACAAGCTGATTTTAAAAAGAATGGGCAAAAGATTTACATATACTTTACTGAAGATATACGGACGGCAAATATGCATATGAAGATGTTCAACATCATTAATCATTAAGGAAATGCAAATTAGAATTACTATGAGATATGGATAAAATTTAAGAGGACATGAATTTTGGGGACCAGGGTGGAATGCTGTGGGTTAAATGTGTCCCTCAAAAGTTCATGTGTTGGACACTTAATCCTACTTGTAACAGTGTTAAGAGGGTGGGCAATCCAATTGTGGTATTTGAGAAGTAGGGCCTTTGAGAGGTGATTGGATCGTGAGGACTCTGTTCTCATAAACAGATTAACCCACTAATGCATTAATGGGTTAATGCTTTAGTGGGTTATCATGGATGGGTAATGGTAGCTTTATAAAGAGAGCACATGAAAGTGCTCTTGCCATTCTTGCCATGGGATTGCCTGCATCACCGTGGGACCCTATAGAGAGTTCCCACCCAGAAGAAGGCACTCACTAAATGTACCCCCTGGACTGTGAACTTCCCTGCCTCCAAAACTGTAAGAAATAAGTTTTATTTCTTTATAAATTACTCAGTTTCAGTTATTCTGACATAAGCAACAGAAAACAAACTAATACACCGACCATACCAAGTGTTGGCAAGAATGTGGAGGAATCAGAATTCTCATACACAGCTGTAGGAATGTAAAATGGTCTAACCACTTTGGAAAATGTAAAAGTTAAACATATACTTACCATATGACCCATCCCTTCCACTCCTAGGCATCTATCCTAGTAAAATAAAAGCTTATGTACACAGAAACACTTGTGCACGAATGCCCATAGCAGTTTTAATGTAACAGCAAAAATCTGACAACCCAAATGTCCATCAACAGGTGAATAGACAAACAGTGGTAAAGCCATACACTGGAATATCACTTGACAATAAAAAGCAACAAACTACTGAGACACACGATACCTGAATGAATCTCAAATAATTATAATAAATGAAATAAGCCAGACTCCCTCCATAAGAGTAAATATTGTGTGATTTTTACTTACATACAATTACAGAAATTGAAAATAATTCTATGTTGTCATAAAGCAGATCAGTGGTTGCCTACAGGTAGGAGGGCACAGGGAGAGGTGGGAGAGAGGGATTACAATGTGTCATTATGAAGCTTTTGGGGTGATTTTGATTGTGGTTATGGTTTCCTGTGTGTATACATGTCAAAATTTATCAAATTGTACACTTTAAATATGCAGTTTAATGTAAGTCAATTTTATCTCAATAAAGCTACTAAATAAAAAGCATGTGGTAGATCTGTATAATACTAAATTGGAAAGATAATTGTTAAGAGGAAGAGATGAATTGCAGAATACTATGCTATTTTTGTAAATGAATAAATGTATGCATATTATATATTGAGAATATGCAATTAAAGATTACAATACTCTACATCAACTGTTAACATAGGAAAAACATTAAGAGATTAAAAAATATGCTGTATAAGCATATTTTCTGACATGGAAAGGTGTTTACAATATACAGTTAGTGGGCAAAGGGAAGGAATCAAGTTACAAACAGCATTTACAATACCATCTTGTTTTAGGTTCTTAAATGTCTGAAAATCTCAAAGCATATAACCTAATAATAATTTCACACATAGGGACTTTCTCTTCAGCTCAGACCAGGGGTTCTAATTCCTAACATGAGTCTTAGAGGACATAGCCATAGCCCAAAAGCCCTGGGAATGTTCTGGACCATTACAGTCTTTCAGGAATTACTACCTTACAGGTTGAGACAGCAGCCTCTTTCCCAGCTTTCCTGTTCTGTGTTGTTGAAGCTACAGTTCTGGGTCTAAAATTCCCCAGTTAAGTTTATTCTGTACACTTTTAGCTTGTACAAATGCAGAAACTGGGGTTACCTACTAGTAAAAAATGGAGTTCTTTAGCCTTTCACATGACACACAGGAGAATAAATCATAAATAGTAAAGAAAAAATTAAGGTATTATTTTGCAAGGAGGAAGAAAGCAATTACCTTTTTAAACGCAGGGTATGAAACAACACACAGAATGATTTTCGGTCTTTTGTAAAAAAGGACACGTACATAGAAAGATTGGAAGAATACATAGCAAGTTTCATTTGCTGATGACAAATGAAAATCTACATCTTACTCATTCAACAAAGTTTTGGGCACCTACTCTTTCCTAGACCCTGACAGGTAAAATCCATACATTTATCTCAGACTTTTCTCCTGACCTCCAGGCCAGGTATAGCCAAATGCCTAATGGGCATGTGCAATTGGAGGAAGTTAAGAATTGTAACACCTGGCAGGACAAAATCCACTGCAGAATTAAGCCATTAAAACCAAATGGTATCTGAACTTTGAAGCCACCACCTAAAAAGGTGAAGAAGGACTGGTAGTGCAGTGAGATGGGTCCTGGTGTCAGACAAATCAGCTATGCCACCTGCCTGCTATGGGAATATAGGAAAAAGTATTTAGCCTCTCTAATTCTCATTGGAGGATACCTAGAATAATGAATTCTTTTTTTTTTTCCTTTTTGTCTTTTTTTGTGTCCGGCAACGGGATTGCAACCCTCGGTGCTGCGCCCGCACCTTGCTCAGCCAGTGAGCGGGA